CGCACTATAGGTGCACGGCACTATAAGAAGAAGAAGAAGAAGCCAACAAATAATTGTTCGTATGTTTTGTCATAATACGTCAGAAACAAATAGCTGTTATATCTAACTAAACATATGTTGATAGAAAATGAAATAATGATCAGAAAGTAGGGTTGGATCCACCACACATTTTGTAAAAATAACTTATAAATTGCAAAAACTGTTTTAGGGTAGACTCTTAGGAGTTCGCGAAGCTTTTATAAAATATATGCCACATTTAACCATTGTCAAAAAAATTCCCAAAACTATGGTCAAAGCGGTAATAGGTTTTATTTTCCTATTTAAATGGTTTTATATCTGACAAGATCCATAATGATTCAAATAGGAAAAGTTTCTGATGTCTGGAACACATGAGAGCCTAATAGCTTAGAACTACAAACGTGCGAAACACAACAAGTAACTTTGTTATGGGTGCAAAGACATAAAGGGTTTTTTGGTGACAAAACATTCTTTTGAAGCCGTCTGTTGTAAATATCGCTCGTAAAGTCTTTATTGTTGGCTTTTTGTACATATTTCATTCATTCAAGATACCCATTCCAGAATTCAGGAACTCTCAACCACCTTATACAGGACCAGATGATTGCTACCATATGTTTTGGTAACATGATTGATAATAGTCTTTCTAAAGAAAGAACTAGTACTCCTCGTACTACAACTTAGTGCAGTCCTATTGAAAAACTATTTCAGACTAACGACAAATAAAAAGGTTCTGCTGATTACGCAAAATACTTTTAAAGCTTCAGAAGATTGAATTAAGGCAATCACAAATGTTATCATTGTACATGTACACCGCTCACTTAGATATCATATATCGAAAACTTGCAAAGCGGACAGAGCAGCATGCAGAGGAAATAGCCATACGTATTGTGTACCACTGCAAGGTAATTATTTGCTAAGTTAATAAATACCAGCATAGACCGTTTAAAATCTGGTCAGATAACAATTATAGCTCCGAACTCGATAATACGAAGTCTAGATATTTTGAACTAAAACATATAGGTAGTATACACTAAAGATCCATCAGGTCAAAATGTGATGAAAGGTCTACAATATCAAACGATAGTATTTGCAATAATTTTACGATCCTTTACGATACGATTAAATATATTTAGTACTTGATTGCTTAGACATATAGAGCGAGTATAGAGTTTGCATGCATTCTGCTACGATTTATAATAAGTAGATTAATAACAAGTTCTTGAAAATGCTAAGCGATGTTGGAAAGGACAAACTAGTAAACATTTTATGACTTCTATGTTATAAGAAAGGGAGCTGCAACCAAATAGTAAATAGCTTACAAGAATATGAGAATTTCTAATGTTGTGTTAGCAACAACACAAGTATAGAACAATTAAGAATTGAATTGATTCGAATAAAGAGAAAAGAGCATAATTGAAAATTATCACCAATCTTTATTAGGTTATAATTTTTGGGCTGTTATTGTGGCTTTTTGACATTGTTTCTCATTCTTTGCCGCTTTCGTTGACCTTGGTACGATTCTTACAAACATACACTATGTGTGTTGAAAAATCCTATACAAATGAACATATTGATATGTCGAAAAATTTCTGTAGAGCGGCCACTATACTACTCGCGTTGATCGAACATCAGCGAGTACGAGAATGTAGACAGGTACTTCATGCGACTTCGCTTCGCCTCGTTCTACTTCCGTTCTGTGTCGGTTTTTCGCGTCCATGTCAAAGGGCCGGAAGTTCGAATACGAAGTGTCACACTACATTACTTGACTTCGCGAGTATGTAGAGAGTCACCTCGCCTAGATTAACTTCACTTCGAGACTTTTCGAGATAAGTAGCTAATATTATTTTTTCTTTTAAAATTTGTTTCTCTCATTTTATTTTTTCTTACGCATAAATAATAATTTATCGTCACGTCTGAAGTTTGATCGATATTCTAATCGAAATTCTATCGATCGAAATTGATAAGAAAGTCAAAGCAGTGAAATATATTGTACCACAGCCCATGTTCTTACTCTGACAACGTCAGTCATTTAGTTTTACGGCCCTAACTCCTTTTGAATTTGTCGAGAAGATCGGACTATAACTTTAATTAATTAAAGAAACCAATATTTTTAGATATAATAATCTATTCAATAAAATTGAGGCATTTTCCACTGATATTTAGACTTCAACCATCTTAAACCAAATATTAAAATGGGAACAAAAAGTCTTAAGACATTCTATAGTTAGGATGCAGTGTTCATCCATGATCAATATTACATTGATATGACAAAGGTTGGGAACATTAACTGGAATATGCAAGAACATTTTATGAAATCTGTAACAGTAAGGTATAAAGTAATAAGGTATATTTTTACCCAAATCAATATAAGCTATTTAAAAATAAACGATTGCAATACTGAGAATATTTAAGAATATTAACAAAGAACAGGATAACCTTTATGGGTAACGAAAAATTCTTGGGCTTAAACAAAAACTTACAATAGCTTATTCTCAAGCTATTACCTTATAGAATCCCAGGAAACGACATGCCGTAGGAATGTCAAATACATAATAATCTCTCAATGCTTCTAACTGATTTGCCTTCCTAGATAGTAGAACACTTTAACCTTTAAAACAAACGAAAAATTGGAGTTGGTTTCCGGTAATATAATATTATTTCTATGGTACATCAATACGCCAATTTAATTGTAAGGTAGGTACTTCTATTATATAACAAACATAACATTTGATGAATTATTAGTAATAATTAAATTAATAATAATAATTCACATAAAAATAACGCTAGGTGCTTGTTCATCGTGAATGTTCTTATTTATAGTTCTACAAGATAATAAAATGTTCATTTAATTATAAGAGTTTCAGCAGTTATATTCACAAATAATGGCAAATTGATTGAACTATTGAGTAAACCATTTTTAACATTATGTTAAAAAAAGAATATTCTTTAAAAACAAAATGTAACGTAAAACATAATTTTAAGTTAATCCAACATATTGTGACAGAGCCGTTAGCTGTAGATAAAGTACTCCCTTATTTCTCTCACATTTTACAAAATAAATAAATAAATTAAAACAAACGTTCAAAAACGCAGTACCAATTGAAATTATAAAAATATTTATATGGCAAACGATATATAGTACTGATTCCTTGAATGATATTCCAATAAATTAGAGACGTCAAGTTACCTCTCCGATAGTACCCGCATCGGACGGTGGTACTCAGTACCGTACCGGGGAGGCAGGTACCCGCTTGTGTTGTTATTACGTCTTTGTCTGACCAGATCAATAAATTTCAAATAGTCAAGGTGGATTCGACTGAATCATTCCACAAAACAATACATACATGGTGGCATAGTTCTTAAATCTATTAATCTTATCTAAAGGTATTAATTCATAATTTTCTGAATATTTTAACGTTTGATATGCTAGTCATGTTTAGCATTGTCTATGAAACATTTTTTATATTACATTTCTTTTCTACCCACAGAACCTAAAACCATAATATTATGCTGCTTATAATTGCCATAGAATAAAATATAATCTAACAAAAATAACAATGTTGCGAATAATATTTATCGATTTCATAAGTCCCTTTTTGTTACTCCTGTACAATACCCATTCAACTAAAATTTCAACTTATATCCCCCATCTTTTTTATTATTTCATTCATGATTATATTAAATTACAGTGGACTTAGCGAGTCCCGTATATCGACTCCACAAGTTCTCAAAAACAAGTTATGAGTATCTATTATTGAATCAAACACTTTCGTTGTCTGTTGAGAATCAGATCAAACATTTTCACATGGACAGTTCCAAACATCAACTTACATACTATCTTTCATCTGATTCGAACATTTTTGATACAACAATCAATCAACCAGTGTATGCATACGTAATTTTTCGGAGTGTTTAATTGATTGTACTACATCGAATTGTGCAACGTACCTCAGATTGTGTTGCTAGATTTAATTGTAGCTTTCTATTTGATCGGTGACGTAGAAACAATGTGTGAACCAAAGTGCGAATGAATTTTTGATCTATGTAGTCAGTAACGATTGAGAAGAAAGAGAATATAATTACAAAAACACATTACTTATTTTGCCCTTGTAAGGAGGATGTGCCAAGTGTTACATTAATATTCAACCTTAGAAGTTCGCTTACACAAATATTTCCTTGATTTTTAAACCAGGATAGTTTTGTTTGGTTAATTAAAATTACGACAGTTTTTGTGAACATTTAATTCACTAGGAAATTCCCGTTTATCAATAGGAAAATTTCGCGCAAATATGTCTAATAAAAATATACTTATCCTTATTAAGCTCTTTATTGACTGTTTTTCTTTAACTGGTATTAAAACAAAAACAATATGTAATCTTCGGCAGAAATGTAATGAATCATTATCTGCTTATATCAAATTTACCTTTTTCTAGTTAATAGGCGTGATAATACTTTGCGCCGAGATGCCTACACAAATTTGTCAGTTAAAATTCGTCTTGGTTTTGATCCCTCGTAATTGATTCCTTCCTCATTTAGTTCTCTTCTCGTATTGTCATCTTCCATGAAACAGTAACTTCTTGCTGATATTAAACCAACAGGTTTTTTATTGAAATAATTTTAGTTTGCTAAAAATTTCGATCGGTCATAGTTTTCATTTCCATGAAGCTTTCGTAATGGAAAAATCAACAATAATAAGAATTTTCAAACACGATTTTCTTGTCTGTTGATCATTCAGGTCTCTTGAAAGTTGCCCATAGGGTTTCTGTTCTATCAACCCATCGATATCTCTATCACTATAACGATTTTTATATTAAGTTATTGTAGTAATAAGTGCAATATTTGTTTGTTGTATTGATTTCTTGATGTTTTAAACATTTATTAATCTTCAAGCTAATATTGCTCGCGGCTCTCTTTTAACTATCCCTCTTGAGTCCTCAATAGATTCTATTAAAAATCTTTATATATTTTTATTTTTTTTTTTTGGTATTAGACTGGTTATATCACATTCTTGGTGATTTCAGCTGGCTAAATCAACAAGGTATATGCCATAAAATTATATAGAATTTGCACAACAGCCGCTTTATCAGCGGAATATTTGTTTTATGTGAATAGGATGATTATCAACTCTAGTTTTATTGAAAAAGACAGCAAATATTTGATTTCACGCAAACAACTCCAATGTATCGGTTGATACATATTTCGGCCTAATAGGTCTCATCAGAACAGTTATTCATAGGTGTTCTCTAGTTTTATTATTTCTATTTATTATTTCCAAGTATCTAAAACCGGAAAATAATAATTAAAAAATAGTAACTTAGGCACCGTTTTACTCGTTAATAGCAATAAAAATATTTAAGTAATGTATAATTGATTTCGGCTATCCAATCGGCAAATGGGTATCTATTTAATAGACAATGCAAAAAGCTCAGGTTCGCTCTTAAAAATATTCCCATGATAATTTTTTGCATAATCACTTTTATGAGATACCGCAAAATAAATTTTAAGTGGCCGCCCAGGCGAAAAGTTGTTTAAAAAAATTAAATCAAATTAAAAAAAACATTATTTTTAAACAAATTGTAACAATCAATTTTTTCGGTCCGGGCAATTTTTTAAATTTTTGTACCGTTCTAAACAAAATAGATGTCTTGTATTTTTTTGTAAACTTGATCGTTCTCAAGTTATAAACAATTGAAGACTGAAAAAATTACAAATTTACGATTTTCAAGGCTCAAAAACACGAGTAAAAAATATTATTTTTGAATTCACCAATGACATAAATTCAAGTTTAAGCCTCGTTCTATCGTATGATAGGTCGGGCGCTCGAGATCCGGCGTGTATAAGAGAGACGAAAAAGATCTGTGCATAAATGTTTTTGGTAGTTTGCTGGGTAAAAAACAATGATTTAAAATAAAATAAGTCCAGAATTTTCATCGGAAGCTGATAGAAAAAGGTCTTGATGATTTCAAAAATAATATTTTTATTTGTGTTTTTGAGTTTCAACAAGTTATAGAAAACTTACAAAAGACCATTTTTGTTCATAATTATCAAAAAATAAATATCCAGGTCAAAAAAATTTATTGTTAAAATTTGTTTAAAAAAAATTGTTTACAAAAAACTTTTCGCCTAGGCGACCTATTGAATCTTATTTTGAGATATTTCAGGAAACTGAATATGTAAAAATCTCATGAAAATATTTTTCCGAACAAAACCAAATTTTTCGCCTTGTCTAAAACAAAAAAAAGGTTCTAACAATATCAAGTCATAGTTAAAATGTATTATTAGATATTTTAAAAACTACACTAACTCGAAATGAAAAAGTAATGTTATAGATACGTGTACGTCATTTACCTCAAAGCGTTTTGAGACAGAAATTTTGAAAAGAAATAAGTTTATTGACTAAACCAAACTTGAACAAATTGGGTAGGATATATTCATGTCACCTCAAAAAATGAGGAAATTTCTAGTTAAAATTTAAAAATTTTAAATGATATTTAATATAGTTCTGTTAACTAAACATATAAAAGATAATGAGTAGTACCAGGAGAGTTGATAAATTACCTATGTGGAAGACTTTTATGTCCATTTAGCTTAATAGTTTTTAGGAATGACCTAAAAATCATAAATATCTCGATCAAAATCAAATAATTTTAGCGAGAAATATTTCTATACACAAACAATCTTTCAGATTGTAAAGTGGATTGATATTAGGCCAAATCACTCCTTTGAAATCTACAAAGGAATATATTACATTCATGTCAAATGATGGCAAAAAGAAGAAATTTAGAATTAAGATTTAAAAAAAAAACGGACAAGATAAATTATTAAACTTAAATTGTTCTCGTAAATGTCTAAATTTGTACTTTGTTTAAATTTATACACTACGGCTGCTAGAGCAATTGATAATATATGACACATCATTAAGATATTAATTGTAAATACTTGCTTATTATTTAGAAAACAACATTCATTTCATAGAAATAAATAAAGAATAATCTTAGATATAATCAGAGAAAATGTTGGCGTTCTTGACGTCTCTAAAGTCTTAAATCTCACATATCTTCTAATTTTGTCGTAAATAAAAGTATTTCGGTTTTTGCAAAAATTTCATATTTATGAAACATTTCTTGCAAAAGTCGTAAAATGTTTATTTACCTATAGAAAAAAAATCATAACAAAAATATTATTGACTTTCTTATCATTTATAACTTTTCATCTAGTTACCAAAAGCTCAATCTTATTCTAAACTTTACCAAAACATTTTGTGAAACTCTTCTTTGTTATATTTTGGGAAATAAAGCAATGCAAGTGTTAGAAAGATATATTCTATTAACATTTTTCCTTCTAGTATTTGAATACTCAGAAGTCATAACTATGATGGAAATTCTTTTTGAGACGTTTAACATAAAAATAAATTAGGATGTACACGAACTACGAGTACAAGATGGATATAATTTTTCTAGTAGAAACTACAAACTACGTGAAAACTATCAAGAAAAATGGTAAAGACTAGTGAAAAACTCGAACAACCGCTTTATATAAATCAAGTCGAAGTTATAGTACCTAGTAGTCAATAATATCAATAAGCTCAGATTTGTTGAGCAATTATCGTAAGTTAATCAATAGAAGAATTTGGACAATGTTAAATATGTAAAACAAGATCACAAGAAAGCTACTATACTAAGAACATAAAAGATTACTAAATTCATGTTAACTTTTGTATACGAAATAATTATCTAAAAATGATTGGTTTTTGTTGTCAGATATAAGAAAGAGATTCATGATGAAATTGTTGAAGCTGATACTTCTTCTTCTTCGGGTTCCTTCTCCTAGCGGAGGTTGGAAATCATCATCGCTATTTTAACTTTGTTGGCTGATACTAGCAAATACCAAACCCGAATTAGATAAAAATAGTTCCTACAACGAAGAGTGTGTAGATTTTATTTCTCTGTACTTTATAATAAGAGAAACAATATCGTGAAAAGTAAAAGAGGTGCACAACAAGGACGTAGTCAAACAACGTCACGAGAAAAGAAAATTGACCTGAAGTATCAAATCAGAAAAGATTAACATTTCGATACGAATACGAAAATAATAATAAATATAAATATTTACTTGTTTGAGAAATATTGAAAGAAGCACATAAGAAGTAATTTGTTTACCTACATTTGGAGGGATTTTCTTATTAATATTTCCTGTTTCAAATGTTTATTCGACAAATTATAAAGCAAATAGGTCTATAAAATTAACTAGGTATGTCTATAAAATCAAGTAGGCATATTTAGATATCCATAAAATAATCCAATAATCCATAAAACTAATGAAGTGGTAATTGTCTTGTATTTTAGACATATTATAAACAGTAGAATTTAGAAGTTCTTAAAAACCATAAATGACAGAAAACCTCAAATAGAGTTTATAACATAAAAAACAATGTATTTAATAATCTTCAACAACCTTCTGGCAGACCTAATTTGTGAAAAATTTCGAAAGTTGTGACAATAAGACGAGACATTTTTAGAACGGTTTCAACAAATTGACACAATAAGTACTAGAATAAAGTTTTAAATATAAGATAAGCAATTACTGAAAAAAATTAATCACAATGTCACAAAAATATATCAGTTATTTTATGTATCTAAAACTTCCAAACATTGCTGAGAAGGGCAGATCTTTTCATTATACTTTCATACACTTTTTATTATAATCTACTATTTATGATAAATACAAGTTTTGTTGATAGGTATTTTGGAAGTTTCAGATAAATAAGTATTAGAAAAAAATTCAATAAAACCTACAATTTCGCGTGGACTAGCTCTTAGCGAATACTGATTCACATTTGGAAATTTGGTTGTACACTCTGTCAATTCTGTCATTCAGAATTTTTACACTCTTGTCTGGTATCGTTGGCAAAATATCCTTCACCGATTCACTGTTCAATTTTTCAAACATATCACGCAACAAGTGTCCAATGTTACCCTTATTTTTTAACTTCTTAATGATATCAACAGTCTGTCGCCTAAACAAGCACAAATTCTCTAAAAGTATAGAGTGGTATATCTCGTATTTTTTAAGTAATCTGTAGCCATGTAAAAGGCCTGATTCATTGTCCAAAAACACCAATAAATCACTGTCAGATTTTCTAGCGAGGTTATGCGCAGGCGCTTCCATTATGTTGGCATTCCATTGATAGTTGTAAAGATTATTGACTATCCTGTCCAAATTAGCAGTCAAGTAATCGAATATTATCAAATCGGACCATTGTGCCAGCTCCACAAGGTTCTTAGTCAAGTCGGTATCGTCCAAAACTTCATTTTTCGTCATATTTAATACATCATATATGTTTAAGTGTCTTTCAACTGGTTTAAATACGTTAGGGATGTTGGCTGAGTTGAGATTTGCTATGAACTGAGTCATAACTATCGGTCTATTTGAATTCCATTGTGCAGAAGCTATTTCACTTCGAAGATTTTGCCATAGAGGAGTCTTTAGATCAACCACACTAACAGTACTAGGTGCAAGATTCGGTAAATTTAGTATTTTAGCTAGATAGAAACTAAACAGTTCACCTTGTATCTGATCTGTGTTTTGTCTGTAGCGCACACAACCTTTTAAACCGTCTTGGAATGTAACTAAACGGTTTTGCATCCTTCCACAACCATTTTCCATTTTGATAGCAACTGCATTTTTGACATAATCTTCCCAAAGTTCGTGTTTCTTGTCCTTGTAGCCTTCAGGTATCGCTCTTTCCACTCGTTTACCCCAATATATGCCGTTTTCGACAAATTCTTCTTTGGTTTTGGTTTCCTTGAAGTTGTCGATGAAAGTAACTGAAGAAAACCGATTTTTCGTGTGATTTTTGTAGCCATAACTGTTATTTAAGAATATAGTCCGAATCACTGAAGAATTCGCAATCGTGTGCTTCGAAATTGCAGTTTCAGTCTGGTTGGTATTAGGGTTTTTAAAGTACATAAGTGGAATAAGAATACCAATAGTAAGTCCAACACTAAACGCAAAAATAGCACTTAACAAACAGAGGTTCTTGTACACTGAAGAATAGTAAAATTTGGGCTGTAGTGGCTTAAGATCACTATCCCACTGCGAGGAATTCTTACCAGCGAAATACCCCATCGCATCACTACTACCGGAACACCACGTAAAATCACCGAATTAAAATACCGTATATCGAACTCTCGTTTCGTCAGCAAGACTCGCAAACGTCTTGACCACTCAACAAACTTTTATAAACTGATCTCACACGAGTCACTTCTTGGTCTTAACAATACTGAAGAGAAGAGTAGTGGGAAGAATTACTGACATATTTTAGTAGACGGAGAGGGTAGGACGTCGGTTCCGAGCGCGATGGGTTAGAGCGAGACAGAAAGGCAGCTGAGATGAGAAGGCTGCGAGAGGCACAGTGACGTACATTCAGCGGATTTGTCGGAACTTTTCATATTTTTTACATTACTTGGAAACCCGCGATCTTTCAGTTCCTTTAGAATTTTTTTCGATTTATTTATTATGTGAACAATCGAGGGTAGACCAAAAACTAAGTCATATAGAACTTTAGTTACAAAATGATTTGTTTTTATGGTTTTTATTTTACATTTTTGTAAAATAAGTATATTTTTTCACTTCATTGTTGTTTTCGTTTAAATCAGGCATATAGAAATACAGACTAAAATGGACTTCATTTTATAAATTTGTTTTTAAAGCAAAAACGTCGATATATGTAGATTGAAAAAAATCTTATTGACAACTCACTTGCTGGTCTTTTTACTTTCAAAATCCACAAGAAAAACAATTACTGTAGTAGCTGGCTGTATACCACGTATCACAAAAAAGAGGTTAGTCTTCGTAAATGGATATTTATGAATAAGAATACGATTTATTTAAAAACCCTTAATAGGGCTACATTTGTTTATTTTTTTTTGCTACATTTACGTTTGTTTTTTTGATGTAGCCCTTTTAAGGGTTTTTAAATAAATATACCCATTTACTAAAACTAACCTCTTTTTTTTCTTTCAGTCGTAGTTTTAGCTTACTCATTTGGTTTTAGATTTAGATAAATGTATTTTTATTTAATAGCGTTTTTAAAATTGTTCGCTATAATTCAGTATTTATGTTTTTAACTTTGGATTCTAGAACTGTGCGTGGACCGACCATAGGACAAATAATTCAATCTTAAATGAGCTAAAGGTCAGCAAACGGCTCTCAAGCAAAGTCCATCTTCAACCTTTAAAATACTTTGGACATGTTGTGAGAGCAGACACAGAAAACAGATTTTGTTATCCAATGAAAGGTAGAAGACCGAAGTAAGATCCCCAACAAGATATACCGACCAAATTACGGGAATATGCAAAAGACCTATGCATAAGTTAAAAGAAATTATCAAAGCCAGAGATCTTTGGAGACGAACAATATACGACCTCACGGTGACCAATACACTCGCTTTGGGGGTATGCACTGAAGAGATTTTAATACTAAAATTTTACACATGTTTATTTAATCAAATTTTGTCAATTTTGCTGGTAAACTATTCTATTTTCTTTTTTAATTGTCTAGATCTAGCTTCTGTGTGTCAGTGTTGGTACAGAAATAATTGTTTTATAAAATTTAATCTGTGTACCTTTTGCTGTTTTATTGTTTAGGTATCTGTTAGTTACAGCGTATATACTAATATACTCAATTTTTTTAATTTTTGTATAACATCTTTACTGTAATCATATGTTATATTTCTTGTCTGTTCTATTGGACAATTATTAATTTCATTTTTGATTTTACTGTGTTTGTCCAATAAAAGTTGTTTTTGTTTTGGTTAAAGACGATTTATTTTCGTAGTGCTCACAAATATAGTACATATTTGGTGTATTTCTTAAAAACATTTAAGAATAAGAATACGATTTTTTTATCATGGTATTTTTCTTTTTATGTTTTATTTCCTATTTAACAATTATGTTATTTTCTTGTTTATTTTTATCCCACTTCTGTATCTTCGGTTAAAATCTAATGTATCTTGCTAGCTAACATAATCTCAGTTATCAGATGTCTTACATAGCTCTTATTTTCGTGACCTACAAATGTGGTATTTATGTTTAATTTATCAAATAAATTTCGGAAGACTGTAAAATAAAAAACCAAGGTTTCTCAACTAAATTCTTGGCAAGCTATCTACCCTAGTTTCTTTTTTTAGTTTTGTGGCCTACAGAGCTTGATTCAGTTCTTAAATACCAAGTTCATCTAAAATACTTTTACATCTTTAACTGGTCTTTTATATAGTTTATTTGCCCGTTGTTATCTATTTGTATTTGTATATATGCTATAGTATTTCTGAAAAGAATATAACATACATCTTTCAATAATATTCTCATTCTCACCTCATAAATTAAACAATTTTGCCATTTACCTTCTATAGAAGTATTGGCTAGATCCCATTTGGACCCGGAGATTTGAAAGGCTCAAATAAGTTTTTTATTGCCAATTTTATTTTGTTTTGATTTACCACTTATTTTACCATACGCCTATTTTATCCTATTTTCATAAGTTAGTGCTTGACTGCTTGTTTGTCAAAAATTGACTTTAATTCATGACATATTAGTTTTATTACCTATATTCGTTTTTATCTTTATCACCCCCTTAAAGACTTCCTTGTGATCCCTGGACGAGAAGCGTTTTGGGTATTACTGTGTTTTGTGGTTAGATTAGATTAGGAATTTTAGGAAATTAATGTGATTTTCGCTGGAAACCCTAAAAAAACTGTGAAGGCCTGATGGTGTCACCACATCTCAAAAGGGATTAGGACTGAGAAGGAGGAATGTGATTTTTCTATTATACATACTTGTAATATTTTCGTTAAGGAATCAGTCCAACTGGTTTTCATTGAATAAGTATCGAGGCTGAAATTTTAAAAATATTTTTATGTTTTTTTTTATTCGTTTGAAATATTTTTATTTTAGAATACATATATATATATATATATATATATATATATATATATATATATATATATATATATAAATATATATATATATATATATATATATATATATATATATATATATATATATATATAAATATATATATATATATATATATACATATATATATATATATATATATATATATATATATATATATATATATATATATATATATGAAAATCATTAGGTTCTCGAGAAGAACCGCGTTTAGAATTTAATGCTCGACGTTTTGGCTCCCATTATGGAGCCATTATCAAGAGGGATACGGTTCGGTTCGAGTTCGGGGTCTCAATCTGCCTACTCCCCTCACTCGAAACGTACCAGTATCGTGTTCTGTATTATAATTTCAAGAACTGTCTCTCGGTACTGAGGTCTCAATCTGCCTACTCCTCAGTGTCCAGTCACAGACAGAACAGAGAAGAAACAGAGAGAAAGATATTTTCACAAAAATAAGAAGAGGTATCTTTATTAGATCTTCTAATAATCGTTGATAATTTTTTATTCACAATCATACATTTGTTTGTAATTTTATTTCTATTTCTACTTTCATTTTCTATAAACTTTTTTTCTAAAATTTTTATATAATAAGAGTTAACCACCAATTATGCAACTAAAACTAAGACTGTTTTAAAACTAAATTTTTTCCGCATTTTGGAAACGTCAATAATGTACTTTCAATCTGGCGATTGTGATTGCTACACTTCAGAACGATATTCTTTACTATGAGTACATTATATAAAAACGTGATCGTCTGTGATCTTCTGTTATGCAATATTAGGTCGAATTTTTTAAAATGTTAAGTATTTAACAATTTCTTACCTTGTGCAATTTCGCAATTGAGATTGACATACATACAAACTTTGTTTTTTAATGTTATACTGTTTTTTATATATTTTAGAAGTGATTTTGTGACTGTCATAGTTATTTTTAATGTTTTCTAAATATTTCACAGTTTTCTTTGTAGTTTATTCTCAAACATTGCCCACGTAACTTTCTCGTCTACCAATATCCATCTTGCACGTTTTTTTTTGTATTGTCTAGCCTACTTTATCTCTGAATGATTTTCGAGGTTTTCTCTCCTTCTTTTTCCTATCAGACTCCATTCTTTAATTCTGTTCATCCAAAGCCTTGAAAGTACTTTCATAATATGTTAATACTAGTCTAGTAATATATATATATATATATATATATATATATATATAAATATATATATATATATATATATATATATATATATATATATATATATATATATATATATATATATATATATATATATATATATATATATATATATATATATATATATATATATATATATATATATATATAACTGATAACATCGAAGTTCATGTTCATAAGTTTTTTAATTTCTGCGTTGCGTTTTGTGACCCTACAACTTCTCTTTAAAAATTTGGTCTCTTTTGCCTTATTTTGTATATTATGTTTTATATATTTATTATGCACTTTTTAGACCCGTAGGGCAGTCAGTATTTTTTGTCATTCTGATATTCTCATTGGTGTTTTTGTAGTATTTTAGATCACACTGAGGTAACTCATAGTCTCTGTTTGCTTATCCTCTTTTTTATATTTTTCTCAGTTGTTTCTCTGTTTGATACTTTAAATCCTAAATATTTAAATTGTTCTGTACTTTGATTTATATTCGTTTGTCTATTTTTAGTTTGCAGTGCATTGCGGTTTTCTTTTGTTCAGGATTTGGTTTTATTTAAATTTATCACCAATTTATTTCTTCTTCTTCTTTTTATGGAGACATAACTAACTATGTCTGTTTTACAATGTGCCGTTCTATCAATTTCGGGGTCATTCTACTGATCGTCTTTCTATTGGGAAACCGTCTCTTGCTGTTTTTACTGATGATTCCATTTTACTCTTCTATTTCTTACTCAGTCCTTAATGTTCTACACCTTGTATCTACGTCATTTATACATACGTATACATACTTCTAGCTCTGTGCCATAGTGTTTTACCATCAATCTTTTTTCATGTTTTTATCTCTACTGTTTTTAACATCATTTTTGTCCTATCTGTGTTAGGCCGTGTTGCTGCCACGTATGTCATTCTTGATCTGAGGCTGTTTTGTAAATTCTGCCTTTCGTTTCTTTCCCGATATTTTTTTTTTTCTATATTGTTTCATTAAGACCACCGACGGCTCTGTTTACTCTATTTACTTGATTTTTTACTTTTGTATCGAGCTTTCCGTAGCTAGATAATGTGATGTTTAGATATTTAAACTTTATAACTTGTTTTATTATCTGCCCTTACAGTTTCAATTTAGTCTTAGTAAAT